TTGCTCCTAGTAGTAAGGCCAGCAGCCCCTAGTAGCGTCCTTGTTCCCAGTAGCGATGCCAGGAGCCCCTAGTAGCGTTCTTGCTCCTACTGATAATACCACCAGGAGCCCCTAGTGGCGTCCTTGTTCCTACTAGCGATGCCAGGAGCCCCTAGTAGCGTTCTTGCTCTTAGTAGTAAGGGCCAGGAGCCCCTACTAGCGTCCTTGTTCCCAGGAGCCTTTAGTAGCGTTCTTTCTCCTAGTAGTAAGGCCAGGAGCCCCTACTAGCGTCCTTGTTCCTAGTAGCGATGCCAGGAGCCCCTAGCAGCGTTCTTGCTCCTAGTAGTAAGGGCCGGAGCCCCTAGTCTTGGCGTTGTTTAGCAGTAGCTTGGTTGCTCTTGGGGTCTTCTTTGTTGCTAAGTTGAGTAATTTAAGGTGTGCATGATGGTGCTATTATTCAAGTAAAATAAGGTGTTGCTAAGTTGAGTTTAAAAAAAGGTGTGCGTGATGGTGCTATTTTCGTAAAAGGCGTTGCTAAGTTGAGTAAGAAGTGTGCATGATGTTGCTCAATTTAAAATAGGTGTTGCTAAGTTACTTAAGTTGAGGAATGCCGTCAAAGTACTGTCTGGTCAGCGTTGAGACCCTTCATTGGTTTGAGGTCCTGAAACATTCCAATGGCAATGAATCTGGTCCTGACCGTGTGACCAGTTAAGGATTGTTAATTTATCTATCAAAACAATCCACCTGAGTCATTCACATCCATGTGTTGACAGATCTGGTAATTGGTCCTACTATTTGACATAATATGACATATATGTTCTTTTCAGAACATAGTGTTGCCCAACTTTCCAGGTGATACCCGTGCATTGACAGTTTACAGAAAGAATAACCCCGAGCATAGTAGCAGCAAGGTCGCCCACCCCAGATGTCTTTTTTTGAACGAAAACACGCGTGGGGATTGTGATGAGTCCGAGACTGCGGTGATAAGTCCAACTTCGACACCTTGACTCATTGCAACCTGCTGGCGCCTCGGCAGGTTTTTTGGTTCAGAGAGTTTTGTCACCGCCGCGGCTGCATCCTGTGTACCTTGCCATGGAATCGTAGCCTCTCACCCTAATGGCCATCGACGATGTTGAAGGACATGTTGGACTTGTCTACGGACAGGTCTGATTAAGATCCAAGGTCCACGGACCAAATTGAATGAACCTCTAAGGAGGTATTGACGACAATGTCCACGGACATAATAACATTATAGTCTGTCTAAGGACAGATCTGCGCTTGTCTACGGACAGTCTACAGACACCTCAGGACGGACTCACTTGTCTCGGTAATGTCTACGGACACTCATCATCCCATGACAGCGTCTACGGACAATGTGACTGTCTACGGACATGTGTGTTTCAAGTCAGCTCACTCTCGAACAATTTGCTGCTGTATTTAGATGAGATCAGTACTTTGGAAAAAAGGCGTCGATGTGCGCTGCCAGCCACTACTAATGTCGCAGTTGAGGGTCGTCGCCGAAAGCATTGACAATTCAATTGTAACTTTCTGTCAGGGGCTGAAGGGCTTGCAATCGCGCAACACAAGCAGTGATTTGAAAATGATTTTTGCATCCGCCAAAGCCACACTGATGACCAATAATTAAGCATCCTAGTATCCTGTCAGAATCAGATGCAATGTGCAAGTTCGTCGCTCTCCAGGGTTTCCTTCTTCGCGCCATGGGAGACTCTCGCGACAAGTTGAAGCACTTGATTCCAGGTAAGCTTGTCACTGAACACACCCAGACTTGCAAGCTAGGAGTGCACAAGTGCAGCTTGTGCGCCGTGCAGCAGGCATGGTCGCTTTACAAGAAGCCATGGCTGAGAGTGCTCTTGGTGGAAGGGGAGTCCAAGCTCGGCTGCAGCTTCTGCGCAAAAGCCGGTCTGGAGGGGCCATGGGCCAACTTTGAACAGCTTCCGAGTGCCGTGCTGAAGAAGTTCAACTTAGAGAGGCATGAGAAATCCAAGGGACACATGACAGCAAGTCAAGATGATAGTCTTGGCGCCGCCCCTAGCGAAGAGACTTTCAAGTCAAGTTTGCAGGCTATGACCCAAGGACAATCTGCGAGACAAGGTGGCGGATCGTCGGACAAGAAAAGTCAAGTGCGGTATGCCCTGTCGGAAGCAGTTTGCGCTCGCAACAGGACTTTGCTGGCAGACTCTCGCTGCATCTCTCTGATGAGAGACGAACGCAAAGGAAGACTTCTTGTGCGCTTCCGCGCTGTTCTACAGGATTTAACCACCATCAGTGGCGCGCTTGGCTTGCTGCCTGTGACAGGTTCTGCTGAGTCCATAGCTGAAACAACTGCTGAAATCATGCAGAACTTCTGTGTACCAATGCGGCAACCGCCCAGACAAAGCAAGGTAAGTGAGCAGCCAGTTGACTTAGAACTTCTACGGAAGATTCAGGACAGGGTCACCATGGTGGCCAGCGACGCTGCCGCCGCCGAACTTTTGGCGGGTGACTTAGAGAGAGGGCGCCGCGCGGCCGCGACCGACTTTCAATCCAACTTTCGGAATTGCAAGGTCGTCGGCAGGGACGCGGCGCATGCGTCCACCCGGCTCCTGAAGCGACCGTTCCTGGCGCTCTCACCTGTCAAAATCTTGGTTGACGAATGGATCCATGGGTCTGAAAGCTTCGCTCAGAAGATACACCACAGCCAGATTCTCAGCCAGTGGTGGGCCAAGGCCGTCCAACGCCAAGAGGATTCCGACTTGAGTGGAAATGCCTGCACCTCCATCAGTGCGGCCAAACATAGGTTCTCGTCGTATCTGAACCCGCTGAGCCGTATAATTCGGAACATGCAAGCAGCTTTCAATGTGTGCGGTAGGGTCCAAGCCATGCGAGGTGCCGAGGCCACTTGGGCAAGCAAGCTCTGCCAAAATTTCACTTCGTTCAAAGCAGCTTTGCTTGCAATGATTACCGACGCTGCAGCTATCAGCGACGACTACACCAGGGGATGTGACCGTGAAGACACTGACGTTGCTGATTTGAACTTACGCGCCAGCCATTTCGTCCTCTCGGCGAGGTCTCTCTTCGTCGACCGGAAGGTGTTGACACTACCCACTTTCACGAAAGAATTCTTGGATAGAAAAAGTCCAGTGACCATTATTCAGGATGGATGTGCCTTGGAAATCAAAGTTTCGCGCCGAGACTTGGACAGGGCTTTTGCAATCATGGAGGACCCGGCGCTTGAGCCGAGCTTTGTTTGGGGGGCGCGAGGTTGAGTGCCATTCTTTTTTAAACGACAAAATCATATACTTTAAATAATAATAGACAATTTTGTCGTAGTTGCAGCCTGCTGCAGGAATGGGTGGCTCTTGTGGAGGAAGTGGTGGCGCATGAGTTTCCGAGTTGGCACTTGGCGGCAGCATTTCAAATCTTTCATTTGTCCGACTGCGTCAGTGGCCGTGACTGCAGCGCAGATGTTCTACGGAACTTGGAGAGGCTGGCCAAAGTCTATTCGGTGCCTTATGAAGCACTGAAGCAAGAGTATGCTCGCTTGCTACCCATTGCTGCGGCTTTGAAGAAGCAAGCAGGTTTGAGCAACAGAGAAGCATGGAGGGAAGCCCTTCATCGCACAAGCAGTCGGAAAGGCGCCCAGGCCACGGCCTTGATACAAGTCCTGGCAGCTTACCTATGCTGGACCGCAGCCACGAGTGGAGTGGAGCAACAATTCTCGAAGCTCAAGAGAAGTCCTGTCGAACTGAGCAACGCCTCCGTGGACACAGATCGCCGCCTTGCCATTGTTGTTGGCGATTGTCAGGCCACGAGCCCCGCAGTGCAACCTGAAGTGATTCGAGCCGCTCGACTAATCTACTCTTCCCTTTTATCCAGTGGAAGGTCCCGCCCGCGGACAAAACCAAGGTTCGATTGCGGCGTGAAAGCCAAAACGAAAACCGGATCTTTTGCCGACTGGAACCGCACAAGAAAGAAAGCAGTGCTGGAAGCAGTGCGAAAATGTCAAACACCTCCTCGGAAACCAGCCGAGCTGTTGACGGAGTCTTCCCTAAAGGAAAGAAATTTCCAGAGAAAACACAGTCTGAAACGAAAGGCTGAGGCTTTGGCCGATGGCTGCTTGTTGTCGGATGAGATCACCCAAGAGGTTCAGGAAGAGGCCCTGCGACTGACCAAGGCAAACCAAAAAGGTGATGAACTCAGGAAGAAAAGCAGACAGGAATACGAAGTCACTGGTAAGTTGACATCCACGAAGAAAAGTCACGAGTGGGCCTGCCAAGCTCTCAGTGGCCCAGCGTGGTGTTGCTCCAAGATGGAAGGTGGCAAGGCGCAAGCAGTGTCTCAAGCTTTGACCAAGCATGGGGTTGCGACGAGAACCCAGGACCCTTGCTTCTTGTTGCTCGATTGCTTGCCACTATACTTTCAAGCATCTGAGTCTGTCTAATTTAATTCAACTTTTCAAACTTAT